CTTATAAGAGTCTTTTTGCCGAGAGAAATTATACTAAAAGCCCTCCGTTGGGGTACTGTGCTGATCTGCACTTAAGAGAACACGAAGTACCCTAGGTCCGGTGCCTTTTGTCTTAAAGCTTGTTAATTAACTGCAGTTTATCAACTGCATCACAAATTATAAAACGTAAAGTTCATGGCTAATGCATAAACATATCCATTAAATCCTTGGTTTATTTCAGAAAACACGTCAACAGCAGAACAAAACTACACTGCATCTTAGGCATGAGTTTGTGCTGCACGAGAAGGTGCCAAAGGTCGCGTTGAAAACACGCCGGACCGCAGCCCTGAAACGTGCGTGTATGGGGGGTCGGAATGGCTCCGGGTCCCTTAAAATAAGCGAACGGCCTGGGGCAGACCAAACCGGCCCAGAAGATGGCTCCCAAAGACGGGGATTAAACTTTTATTTTGCTTAAATTCAACCCACGGAGCTATCGGTAACTATTTGTCATGCCGGACCCCTTTTCCGGGGCTGCGATTCAAATGTCCCAAGAAAGTCCTTCATGCAAAAGCTCCTTGACCCACTTGAGTTTAAAGGGGTGTCCGGTTGTCCTGGACGGTATCGGATCGGTACCAATGGCCTTTGCGGCTGTGTTGTTTTAAATGGATTTTGGGATCACGGAAATGCACAGTTCAAAGTACCACCGCGACATCAAAATGAGCATTACTACAGCCCGTTATTGTTGTTGTTGTTTTTATTATCATTAATATTAAAGAGAAACACCCCGCGGAGCTGCGTTCAAAGGGCAGTTGGTTATGCGAGCTGTCTATCGGGAAGTAAGGCGTTTAAAACGGGGCGGACATGTGGGGCAAAAACTGCCCCTGCGGCTGCACGGCGTGCAGCTCCGCAAAGCTTTACTTACCCCACCCCAAATTACACACAAACATAAAGTTGCATCTATCATACAATGAAGGGAAATCAGCTGTCGTTACAAACAATGACGGTATTGTTGTAAGTTACAAACATAAACTGTGTAAGCGAGCGGCGTGCATTCCCGCACACCGGGGTGCAAAGCCGGCCATGGCCATCGCACGCCGTGCGGGGTGTCCCGATCCTTCATGCGAAGGACCGCGCTGCTGAATTTATACCGCAGACTTTTTCAAAAATATATGTGTATATACAATTTCGTGATTGGCTTTAGACTATTCAACAGTACCCATATTTACCATGCTTTATCCTACTATGCCGCGAAAGTCACACAAGTAGAGATAAAAGGGCTTTAAATGATTATTAGATAAAGCCCGTACTCTTCTGCAGTAGCTGGATCGCCACTTTAGGACGTTTTTAAATAAGCTCCAGTAAGCAGTGATTTGCAATATTCTGAGTGTAAATCTACTTCCCCGTGTTCTGCGACAGAAAAACTAAGAAAAATTTTAAATATACAGATACACTAAAGCTGAGAACTCACCTAAAAGTCAGACCTTCCCGCAGGCGAAGCTGAAATATAAGAGTTTTTCCTCTTCTTTTTATTGAAGTCAGTGGCAGCTCGGCACTAGTGTAACGTTATAGCTGAAGTGCAGTTGCTCAATCTCCAGAGGTTCAAAATCCCAGCAGAGGAGAGACACCGTGCGCGGCCTCCTGGCTCAGCTGACTACCGACACACACGGGAGACTCCGCCCTCCTACTGGGCACCGCCTCACGCTCCGCCCACCAGCACCACCCATCATCCGAGCACCACCTCTGGCCCTACCCACCAATCGAGCACTGCCCCCGACTCCACCCACAATCTGGGCACCAATTTCACGGATGGAGCATCGTCTCCACCCACCTTCTGCGCTCAGCCCCCGACCCCACCCATCAGACAGGTACCGCCTCCACCTCCTATTGCAGCTTGGCCCCCTCCTCTCTTGCCTCGCCTCTAGCAGGCTTTGAGGCGGCAGTTTTACGACTTCAGCCGCGGCCCCTGCTCCGTAAACAGCAGGTCTTGTGCCTTATCCCCTGAGGTTTAAAGGGGACCTTTGGGCGGAGAAAGGCTCCTCAGTGCCTTTAAAGCCCCAGGATCACTAAAATAAACTGGCATATAAAATTAATGTGAAAAATTGCCCTGCAGTGACGAAGCTGATTTTAGTGTGCTTGTCATTTTAATCTCCCTTTTGCTGCACTCTGACTGAGAAAAACCAAGGATTGTGGCAATTTGACAATTTTCTTATTATAAAAAAATTATTTATTATAAGTTCATGTTCTCAATGCTCCTGATCTAAGGTTCACTGCTGCTTTAAAAATATTCTCAATGTGTGCTGCTCCGTCTGTATGTACATGAGCTAGGCTCTGGGCTTAATCATTATTTGATATAAATTTAGCTTGTCAGTGATTTATTTGGGTGTGTTTTAGAGGTTTAGAGAGATACCTGAAACAACTGTCACTTTCACAACAAGAAAGAAAGTCTTTTCAGTTTGTGATCCAAATAACCAGATTCAAGAAACAGTGATAAGAAATCACAGATTTCACATCGATATTGCATAAAACAATGAAAGAAAGAAAGAAAAAGAGAGAGAGAGAGAGAGAGAGAGAAGATGGAGGAGAGGAATCAAACATTCCCAAGTAGGGGAAAAAAAATCTCTGGGGGTCCAAGGTCACCTGGCTGCCCCCCCCCGACATGCTAACATTATAGAAAGAAAAAGTTTAACAAAAGCTGACCAACTCAACAGTTTTACTTCTCTCCACATTGGGGTTGGCAGCTTGTGATTCCCAAAATACTTTGTAAAATCCAGACATTAAAACAGTCACAGCCTCTGTGAGGAATAGAGCATCATGGGAAATATCGAGAGCCCAGGAATTTGCTGGCAGAAGCCATGGGGAGAGTGGAACGGTCCGAGCCCTCAGCACTAAAGCAAGTCTGCAAGCAGATTTCGACCAACTCACATTTTTAGAGAGAAAAAAAACTAAGGGCAACTTAAATATACGTAAAAAAAGAATAGACTCAGAATAAAAAATTTTTTTTTAACAATAACACAAACAGAATTTTACACACTCGTGGGCAAAAAATGGGCCTAAGCTTAATGTGCAATTTTGGTTTGGCCCACTTTTTTTTGACCTGGAGTGAACATATAAGTCTTGCTGTTCCTATAATAATCATTGTATGCAAAGGCAATACTGTACAGATACACATATGATATTTAAAATCATGAAATCATATTGGTACTGCTTACTAATATTTTTACATATTTAGCGGATAATTTTGTCCAAAGCACTGTATAAATAATGCACACAGCACATTACAAACATACATGCTGTCAAGGAATCGATTAGGCGCAAGTGCAGCTAGGCTGAGCTTCCAGTGAATGACCAGTTGCAAGTGTAATCTGAATTTCTCAGATTTTTCTGAAATTTTATTGATATTAACACTTTGGTAAGCACCGTAAGATTATGGAACAGGCACACCTAATTACAGCAGGTCAGGCTCCCTGGAAAATCACTATGGAGTTAATTTGTAATTAAATTTTGATGAATTAATGAAAGCCTAATTATGAGGCATGAGGTATGTTCTCTATGATCCTGTGAGATGTTGCACAGAAGAACAGCTCCACTTACAGAACATTAATTAAAAGTATCAATATTTGCAGAGTGGTGGTTGATACAAGTGAAAAATGAGGAGATTCATTAATGACTCACTGGATAATTGACTAAGTTACTAAGCAACCCTAACAACAGAAAGGTTACCACAGTAAAGAGCTGCAGTAAATGTGTCCCCAAATTCCCTGACAGCAGCTAAGCTGCAGCTGGGAGATGTCACAGACACCATGTCATAGGTCACCATTATACTCAGCGATTGAAGAAATCGAAAGTTGACACCTTATGAGGGACACACCATACCCGATGAGTGATGTAATACTTCATGTTGACCAGTTACCCTCACAAAGTTGTGCCCGTCCAAAGGCCATGCTGTAAAAGTAGGAGCAGCAGCACCACAAGCCTGGATTTTATGTCATCTCCACCCATGAGAACAAAAAAGTCTGGATGACATTCAGCAGATGGGCGTTGCATTTACAGGAATCCATCCATCCACCCACCTGGGATGCAATGATTTACAGGAATGATGGATAAATGTCAGTTGGGTTGGTTACAAAACAGATACAAGTCATAAGACATTTGAGGACCCTGTTTTAAAATAAATGCCAGTTTTTCCCCTCTTTGATCATAATACAAATAATAAAAATGTGGACAAGTTTGATATATAGATCGTACCACCTTTTCTTTTGCAGATCAGTCTATGTGGTTCTTAATGGGTAAGCTGCTGTCACTGAGAACACAAGGAGGGATGCCAGAAGAGAAAGATTCTTACCTTTTAACTGTCAAATGTAGCAGGATTATCATTTTTATTTTACTGAGAAACAATTAGTCGGGAGAAGAAGATGTCACATAACATACTGTAGAACCATTTGGTACAGAAAATACAAAAATGATATATAATTAACAACACTAACCAATGTCCTCTCTTCTGAATGATTTAACACTTGGACATTACATTGTAAAGTCCCTACATTTATAACAATATTTACAATATTTATTGATAATCAGAAAATACACAACATTTATGATGCTGAGAAATCTTCTAATGTGAGTAGAACCATGTGATATTGGAAGACCTTAATTTCAGGATTCCCTTTATTTGGGAATGCCCTTTAAGGAGCCAGAGGGGAGAGGAAGGGAACGGGACAACAAAAAGCTTTGGGGGTGGGGGGCAAACAGGGACCATGGTTACACTAATGGTTACACTAATACACAGGGTTAAGAGACATGTCAGACAAATACGGCAATCACCTGTGTGTGTATGTGTGTGTGTATTACTTTGTGGGGACCAAATGTGCCCACAATGTGATAAAAACGTGTTATTTTGATGTTGTGGGGACCATTTTTTCAGTTGCCAGAAGGGGAAACTCAATTTTATAAAAAATCTGTGACTGTAATCAAAAACTAAAAGTGCCAAAAGTCTTGTATTTTGTTTGGTTAAATATGGTTAAGGTTAGGGCTGGTTATGGGTTAAGGTTGTCATTGTTGGGATTAGAGTTATGCCCATAGAAATGAATGAGTGATTCCAACAAAGATGTGTGTATATATGTGTGTGTATGTATCTATATATCTATATATGGACCAGTGAGTCTGTTCTAACAACTGGCAAACCTGTTAGCAGAGACATTTCATAATCTCCTTACATATTTCTGTATTTACGCTCAGTACTCATTATTGGCCCACGATTTATTTCCTCATATTAAATATTTGCACCCAAAATAAAACACCCCAAAAAATTGCACTTCTTCAAGCCACCAGGCCACTTCATCATGCAGTCCTAACATCTTATGTTAGGATATTAGCATCCTAAAGACATCTACCAATATTTAATATACGCAAACATCCCCGCTTACAGATATGTCCTCAGACCAGTTTTTCACGCTCGGTCTTCAATTAAACATTTTGTGTACAGTATGTACTATAAAAATAATGGCATAGATTTAAATAATTTGGAAGAACTCCGTTATTAATAATACTTTGATTTAGTAGTCAGACTGAGCCACTGTTCTACATTAATACATTTTTACAGCTTCAATGTGCTAATATTGTTTCAGAGAAAGTAAATATGTACAAGGCAAATGATCAATTAACCTCCTTTCCATGAACAATCACATTACATTTTCATAATATTCCACTCAAAAAGACAAACGTCTTCATCCAACTTCAATGAACAAAAATATTCTTCAAAGATGCACACTTTTGTTTTGCTAATAGAAACAAAATACACTGTAGATCATTTTGAAGTGACCAGCTAGAGCAGGGCTGTCAAACTGCAGTCCTGGGGGGCCGGAGCCCTGTGCAGCTTAGTTCTTTCCCTGTTCCACCACAAATGATTCAGATCAAGAGCTGTGTGATAATTAGCACAAGGAGTTGAATCAGGTTGTGTTAAATGAGGGTGAACCAAAAACTGTGCAGGCCTCTGGCCCCCCAGGACTGGAGTTTGACACCTCTGAGCTAGAGGATTAGAAGGGGCAGGATTTGTGCATTTTGGGATCATTTTTTACATTTTACATGAAATAAAATGACAAATTGGCTGTAAAAATAATTCAAAACAATCAAAATCTGCTTGTACGAAAGGTGGAAGATGTTCCCTGAATTTCAATATATGCAAATTCAGAAATAATCTGAATTGGTCTTATAAACTGTGATTGGCAGGTAGGTGTTACTCTGGAACTTCAGCAAGGAAACAGACTCATACAGCCACAAATTACACTGTACCAACTCAACATTAATTCCCCAACTGAAAAGAGTGGATAAATAAAATCTCAATATTTAAGAAATATTTGAAAAGTGCGTCAATCTTTGCATACAACATAAACAACAATTATTGGCATCTTCTTGTCCAGCATCTTTCTGAACAACTAACACAGGCTGCTCAAATATATAAAATGTATGAGTAGACAAGTAATTGGAGAATGGAGAGTATCTATTGGCTTGTGGATGTCCCGTGAAACGGCTTATGCAAATGCTGCAGACGAGATTCTGATGTTTTCTCGTACCCTTGCAGGACTGACGACGATGCCCGAATTTTCCCCAGTCTGCCATTCACAAGCACTGTTTTTTTGGGGACAGGGACCTAAATAAGAGAAATAAACTTTTAGTCACATGCATCCTTATCAATCACCTTGGTGATTATCAGCTGTACATCTCTTCCAAAGGACAATCACCACACACCTTGGTGATTAGCTGAAACTCTTCCAGGAGACAATTACAATACACCTTGGTGATTATCAGCTGTGAATTTCATCCAAACACAATCACCATGCACCTTGCTGATTATCAGCTGAAAAATTTTCAGGAGATAATCACTATGCACCTTGGTGATAATCAACTCTAAATCTCTTCCAAAGGACAATCACCATGCACCTTGGTGAATCTCTTACAAAGGACAATCACCATGCACCTTGGTGATTATCAGCTCAAAATCTCCCAGGAGACAATTACATTGCCCCTTGGTGATTATCAGCTGAAAATCTCTTCTAAGGGACAATCACCACACACCTTGGTGATTATCAGCTGAAAATCTTTCAGGAGACAATCACCACACACCTTGGTGATTATCATCTGAAAATCTTTCAGGAGACAATCACAATTCACCTTGGTGGTTATCAGCTGTAAATCTGTTCCAAAGGACAATCACTACACACCTTGGTGGTTATCAGCTGAAAATCTTTCAGGAGACAATCACAATGCATCTTGGTGATTATCAGCTGTAAATCTCTTCCAAAGGACAATCACCATGCATCTTGGTGATTATCAGTGGTGGGCACAACTACCCAAAAAGTTAGCTCCGATAACCGCTAATCCGCTACCCCCAAAAGTTTAATTCCATAACGCTAAACTGATAAACCTCAAAAACATTTAGTGGAAGCTAATGATAACCGCTAACCACTAACTCTCATTATATGAATTTAGCTTTGGTTTTGTTTTTGGCTCTGAAACCCTTAAAACATACCCGGATAGCTAAAATTTTGACCTGTTTAACAGGTCCCATTTGTTTGAATAGTGATTACCAGGAGATATTTAGGACTAATCCAATTGGGTATTGTTGGACTCTGTAGAGTCTCCAGAATAAATATGCATTGAAATTTTCTTTCTAGATATTCCATTTGCAATATATAAACATTTTTGTCAGAGAAACCCTATCTCACAACTGATTCATGCTGACATTTTGCGCTCAGTGAAACCGCTTGAGAACTACAAACATGGCACCGTTTACCTGGAACTAGGAAGGAGGGTCTGAGCTCTTCATTGGTCTATGGCTATGTCAATCAGAATACAGAAAATATAAATAGGGGCCTGTATCACAAAGCAGGACTTCTTAGCTGGATAACTAGATAGATTTAAGGTAATCTGGGTTAAATGTAAGTGAACAGAGGTGAAGTCCATTTAAATTAGGGTACCTTAAATCCGACAAGTTATTTGGCTAAGCAAGAGATACATCTTTTTAATCACCGGCCCCTGTTCTCTGCTTAGTTCTGGGTACTCCAGTTTAAATGAACTTTATTTTCATTCGCTTACATTTAGCCCAGTCTATCTTAAATCCGCACTTCAGATTACCTATCAATCCATAGGTGACATTAAGGATGCACTCTATATAGTTTCATCATGATGTGTGCATGCGCGAAACTCAAATTGCATGACATGCCATGTCAATTAAGGAAAATTAAATGTAACACATCATGCTACAACTTTTTTGCTGCTTAAAACAATAGGAAAACTCACGTTGTTCTCATTTTCCATGACTAATCTACAAGAGAAGTCTGGCTGATATAATTTATTCTAATTTAATGTTTGATGTTGCTCATGAGTGACATGTAGGCTCTGCTCTAGTGAACCACCAATCTCAATGATTATTGACAGAGCTGCCAATGTGTGATTTTAATATTTGTCACATGTTACACACATGTAATTTTCACATTGCAAGGACCACGAGAGTCAGCTTTATGGAAAAACATTCTTACTCTGTCACAGGGAACAAAGCTTAGGAAGCCCTGCAATTTTAATGATTGTTTTAAGGTAAAGGAGTATATGTTAAAAAAATAACAGTGTAAACTTTACTGCCTCTTGTTTTGCATGAGCCAGTCAGTCTCCTTGCTGTTAGACTCATAGTGTCGTGCATTTGTGAGACATTTAACAAAAATGAGTCAGCAGGAGAGAAGTGAACCGGGGCCTCATGTATAACGACGTGCGTAGAATTCACACTAAAACATGGCGTACGGACAAAACTAGGAATGTGCGCAAGCAAGAAAAAATCCAGATGCATAAAACATTCCCTTTATAAATCTTGTACCATACTTGTTTGAATTACTTGCATGTTTATGAATAACACGTAGGGCGCAGATGTGGTTCTTCTGTTTGTTTATTCTTACAGACAATAGTACAAGTGGTGCCCCCAGTGCTGAGGATGAAACAGGCGGTGATGGTGCTGCCTCATGCCTAAGCTCTTCAGATACCAGCAAGCCACGATTTTGTGCCAGATTATGCAACACGCTACATGCGTGTACAATGCGACACACTTTTTGCAGACTGCATGTATAGCAGCACCCCAGCGGTCTTGTCCAGGCAGCGCCAACAGCCTTTAAACTGCCCTACAGTGCGCTCCACCACCGCCCGAGCCCGGGAATGGGGGGCAGCATTATAACGCCGCTCATGTTCATTCTGTGGGTTTGCGAGCGGCGTGAGAAGCCACGACTTCAGTGGGTACCCACTGTCCCCTAAGGAGTTGTCCAGTGTTGTGCCTGAACGAGTTCATTGAACGATCGTTCATGAACTCGTTCATATTCTGGGTGAATGTGAACTGAACGTACTGTATATCTGCCTGATGAACGTGAACATTCTCTCGTAGTTCAATTTTGTTCTAGAGAGTGCCAGATTTCCATGGAGCCAGGCAAAATCCCGGCTATAACCACTGACTGTACAATATCTAGGCTACAACCGCTACAACACAATCTAAAATGGGCTTTATTATATAGGGGGAAAGACCAGATCTGGCAACACCAGCCACCACAGAGTCGCACCGCGCATGCGTCATTAAATTGCGAAGGATGAATGGAGGCAAAATTTGTGATACAGGCCCCTATTTATATTTTCCATAGATACGATATTGAGATTTGATTGTGATTTGTCAGCACTGCTTTGTGTCTATTGACACAACTCGTGGCAACACCACCAACTTATCTGACAAACTTTATTTCCATATCGGGCACCTCTAAGTGACAAACTTTTTCTAAATCAACAAGGCTAACAAGCTCCCATCTACAGGCCCAAGTTCTAATTTTAACATCAAACCATCCACATCAGACTACACCCCAGTTTAGTTAAAATCTCTTATCATAATCTACTGTGTCACAGTGAAAGCTGAAACATACTACAATTTATTTGTTTAAAGCATCATAGCAGATGCAGATATAAAAAACACGTTCCTCCCATGCATCTGTCAGGTATTTCCAAATGCAGATTTACTTTACGTATATTTCTGTTAAACTGACATTTATTTTTGCTGCTGCAGTGTGTGCACACCTGGGAACACATACGGGGAGCATTCACACAGCAGGAACTTTTTCAGGAACTAGAGCCTTTGTTTGGAACCAGGAACTCTTGTCGTGTTCACACTGCAGGAAGTTAGCCCGACTGTAGTTTCTCTGACACAGTTCTGGAACCCTTTTTTAGTATCTAGTCTACACTAGGGCTGTGTCCAAATTCAGGGGTTGCATCTGTCAAAAGATGTGGTCTATGAAGGTATAGACCTTGTAGACTGTGTTCTTCGACACTCTGTGCAATGAATCTTGGGATCCTTTGCAATTCGGCAAAAGAAAGATGCATTTGAAGGAGCCTTCGAAGTGGGACAGCCTTGTCACACCTTGTGACGCATTTGGTCTTCGGATACAGCCTTGGAAGGATGCAGTCCCTGAATTCGGACACAGCCTAGATACTTTTCATTCAAACACGAGCTACTGGGGAGACGCTTACAGCAATATCTTGGTGATTGGGTGACCACAAGCACCGGTGTTAGGGAGAACTGCGGGGAAAAGTGATGGAGCATTAATTGAGCAAATGGAATTATCTTTGTACATTAATTTCATTTAATGCATCAATTAATGCATTTTTTTTGCCTGCATCTCCATATTTCCTCATCAGAAAATTTGATCTATAACCAATATACTTTTGTCTAATATTGCCGATGCTGGCAATGAAACTTGCCAATGTCTGTTAGCAGGATAAAGTTACACGGCTTTTCATTCTGAGAAAAATGAAAAATAGATCTGCCGGACAGATTTAATAAAAATTACAAACATGTCACGAGTCAAATAAATGAACTATTAATAAAAGGCTGTGTCCTGTTTTGATTGCGATCGACCCCCCCAGTAATTAACAAATAACTAACAAAAACAACTTCTTCATCCTCCATTGTTTTGTGAAGTTTCGTTAAGGTAAATTTTTGCATCTCCCATGCGTATTTAGCATAAAGGTCCTAGTTCCTGTTGTGCGGTGTGAAAACGACAGGAAGAAGTGGCCAGGAGCTACCAGGGACCAGGTTCCAGAACTTCGGTGTGAAAACCTCTAATGGGGGAGCGTCAGAGGTGGAAAGTTCAGGTCCAGAAAGTACAAATCCAGACCAGGGTTTTGTTTCAACTGATAAGCTGAGTAACACATACACAGAGTATTCAACTGGATGGATAAAACAAAACCTTGGTCTGGATTTGTACTTTTGGGACCTGAACTTAACAGCTCTGGGGACCACTGGGCTGTTCATGGGGCAGCAGGCCCCCCTGGCCACCCTCTGACACTGGGCCTGGGGAGGGCTTAAGTTATGACATCACACAGAGTGATGTACTGCTGGCAGAAGTCCCCCCCACCCCCCTCCCTATGGTGCAACAGCAATATGGAGTCTGCTTATACAGCAGTTTGGATGTCAGCTTTGTAACAGGTGATAGAAACGGACGGCCTAGCATGGGGGTTACATGCCATTAAATTCCAAGTTCCCCTCTCATTAAAATCACGGCTAAACTTTTCAACTTAACCCATTCAGTAAAATTGTTTTTGAATTTCCACATTATATACTGAATAATACAGAGCTAATAAATGTTACAGCGCTAAAATGTGACAAGTGAAGTATCCATACATCCATTTTCTACACCCGTTTGTATGAGAAGAAAGAAAAAAAAGACATTAATAATAAAGAGCAGACTAACAACATCACCTTCTTTAGTCTCTGAGCTCCAAACCCTGAACGGATGGCCTCCAGGAGAGCCTCTCTGGCACCTTCCGGAGGGTTCCGTGCTGAGCTCACCATGGAGGGTACGTAAGGCACAGGTGGAGGAGGGGGTGCAAAGGCAGGGGGCGGAGGCAGGTGTTCGGGCAGCGCAGTGCCCCCCAATTCAGCCTTCTTGTACCCCTCCAGCTCAGATGCTGCTTCAGATTTTGTCTGCAAAGTCAAACACCGTTTCCTGACTCAAAAGGAAGTCTGACTTTCTTCGATTTATTGGCAACACATTTAAGTGGATGAACTGACACAGAAACTAAAGACGGACTGATCTGCTTAATCTTTACTTTGTCTCCTGGTCTTGGACATAGAGATTACCCTCATTACCTGCAGACCACTTGCAGAATAAACAGTATTAGCAGTAATAAACAGTAATAACCAGTGTCTGTGGGACATTGTTTATCCATTAAAAGTTTTAAAAGCAGGACACAAAAGCTACAGTACACACAGCCACTGGCACCGAGACGCAGGCTGCAGCTCAGCACGTCGCTCTGAGGGTTACAATATTTATTTCTCCTGAAGAGAGATACTTCAGTAACGTGTTGGTGCTGAAAGTCGACTCGCAGCATTTGGCTCCCACTTAATCCAGAGAACATAATCCGTATTTACAAAGTACTCCAAACTCCCAGAGTTCCTTGTGGAGTCCTGGATATGGAACCAAACCCATAAAATCAACACTGCTGTTCCTTAACTCACTGGAACAGGGAAAAACATTTTACGTTCCAGAAACATTGGAAGGAAGAAAAAAATCCTGCATTTTTTGGCTCTGCAAATATACACACACATACACACACACACACACATTACTTAGATAACTTAATATTTCATCTTAAAATAGTGATAAAAGATTTCCACACACCTCTATCGCTTTAAACGTCTACACACTTTTACGTAACATGATTTCTGAAGCATCAATGCATTACTGGGCCAGGTAAATATAAAGAGAATCATGCTTCCAAAACTTACCTTCCTAAGTCTTGTGGAGTTATTCTGAGCTCTTATAGCTGCTAAAAGTGCAGAATGTTCATTTTCAGTTGTGACAAACGACAGGGATGTGGAAGTGCTTTCCTGTGCTGCACCAGACACCTAAGGCCAAAGGAATCGGCAGAATGTTGCTGGAGAGCTAATCATTTCAGCACATTTCCAAAAATCTACACTTAAGCATAAAATCACAAGCTTGAAGAAAAATAACTAAACATATTATGGAGGATCAATTGCATCTTTTATGGAAAAATTAGGCTGAGATTATATTACGGTCTTCAAGTGCAATACTGAAATACTAAAAGTACTGTCATTTGCTTTTAATGCATTTTATTCTATCTGTTTTACAGTAGTCTATTACCTGAATGATACTATAGTATGTGTATCCATCACACATCAACACTGTTTATTTTAAATACTCAAAAATATAAGTGAATGAATGGTACTTATTTGGAATTGGAATTTCCGTAAGTTTGGCAGTCTACCTTTCTGAGACGTTCCTTCCCATCACCGGACTGGATAGCCTCCATGAGAGTGATGTGCAGTGAAGTTTCCTTCTGAATGGGTTTCATTATGACAGGTTTGAACTTTGTGACAGGCCCAAACACGCCTGGCTGACAGCCTTCTGTAGAGGCGGCAGTAGATGCCGAAGAGTCAGACTCCCTGTCCAATACAAGACTATTGGCATCCATAGCATCCTGTGCAGGGACAGAGCTGTAGACGGACTGTGAAATGGCAAGTTCTGCTTTAGCGGGAGACTTTAGCTGCTGTGTAGATGTAATAGACTGTTGCCTGGGTACAGTGTTTCTGGAATTAGCTTTCCCCGTATTTTTGCCTCCTTCTTCAGGCAACGAGGCGTTCTCATCTCGTTTCGCTCTTGTATTTTTGACTTTATAATTGGTGTGTTCTTGGAAACTCAGGGAACGATTAGGATTGGTCACCGGAACCGAGTTGCTGTTTCCTTTCACTTCTAACACACGTTCAGAGTCTTCAATGCGTGTTGAGTTATTTGAATGCATTTCTTCAAATCTATTGCTATTTGAAAAGCTTTTTGTGCCAGAGAACTCTTGCTTGGAGACTGATAAGTCAGCTGCTGCATTCAACTCTAGAATTCTCTTAGTTCCGGTCGGAGGCCCTCTAGTGTACTTGGATATGGCAGAAGCCACATACTGGCTGGACGTTCTTCTCGACGGTTTTAAAAAGGATAGGTCTCTCTTTTGGTCAGACTCATGTATCGGTTTTACAAACTGCTCTTTGGGATCTGTAAACAAACTCTTGCTCTGTGTTCCATCAACAGTGGCCTTCAATGGTTCTGCAGGTGCTGGCTTGGAGATCTCTAGATCTTTTGTTTTAACATCCCTATTGCAAGGTACTGTATCTTGCTGCTTCGTTGACGTCCAAAAGACCTTGGCTTTCCCCATCTCTGTGTCACCTTCAGGTCCCAGAGATCTTCTGTGTTTATTGTCTTGCGAGACCATATTTCCTAAGGCATCGATTTTAATGGCACCGATAACCAAAGAGCCAGCTGAATTCTGTGTCACTGTCGGCTTCGGGGGAACAACGGTGAAGGTCTTTAAGCCATACCGGGAACTGGGATTCGGGGTTATGGTGTTTTGTGCCATTTGTCGTTTCATGGGGACGGTTGCCTCAGTTTCCTTAGGAGGTTGACTGGTATAGCCCTTAGTAGCGCCCAGGCACCTTTGATTTCTTGACGAGTTATCGGTTATGTCTTGAGCGGAGGATGCAAATACAGCAGTTTCTTCTTTCCACGCGCCATCTTGGATTTCTGTCACTGGGATCACTGTCGTTTCATCTTTGGCTTCCTCCTTTCTTCTGCTGCTGTTGTTGAGTCTTTCTTCAGGCATCCTATCACCTAGTGCTGCATGAGGAAATCCCAAGCTGTCTCCGTACTTGGTGATGGCACTGCCATCTTTGACTCTTACACTGCCATCTTTGACTCTTACACTGCCATCTTTGACTCTTACACTGCCATGTGGCTTATAGATAGGAATGTGATTTCCAATGATGACATTTTGCATACAAGACAATGGTGACACCTTGTAATTTGCTGTACTAGGCTCTAGGTTGTCCACAACTTCATTGATAGTCGTCACTGGCACTTCCAAGTCCAAAAATGACACAGGGACCTCATCTAAAGACTTATCTGATGTAGAGGACTCACATATTGAGGCTTGATCTATGTGATCAACATCTGCTTTTTGATGGGGTAATTAAAAGAATAAATAATGAATTAGTCAAATGTCAATAGCAGTTCAATACTTACATTAATGAAATACTGATCATTAAACAACATAGAGAGAAGAAATGTAGACTAAACTTACATAGAGTATTTACGTAGAGTAAATCCATTTCTACTTTTAAAATTAAGATTCTGAGTTTGTTTTTATGTAGCCCATCTATGCTTATTAGTAATAGCTTTTAACGTTTTCAGATGCACAAAAAGTGCACCTGGTAGGCCTATTAGCAATAGCCTTTAGCATTTTCAGATGCAGGAAAAGCCTACCTGCTAGGCCAGCATCCAGCTCAGCCAGAGTCTCATGAAGCTGGGCGGTGATCTTCAAGTCATCCTCATAGGTGTCCTTCTTTCTGCCTGATTCCTCCCCTGGGTGAATTTCATTACTGTGCCTGAAATGGAAAAATTAAATGGAAAAAAAGAAAGTTCTATGTTTAATGACAGATACTGCTATATTCAAAAGCCTCAATTTAAACAATAAATGCACCAATTTCCATGTTCCAGTTTCTATTTATGATAGTAGATGACATTTTTCATTCTTGGCAATCCAACTTAATATTTTTAACCCGGGCACGTCTTTCCAAACAAGGACTGCATTCGAGATGATATTTCTCATGATCAGTCACAGCTGAATATTGTTTTACCAAAACTCGCTTCCTCAAATAATCTATGAGGTCAATATCAAAGGTGCTTTTTCATTTGTTAAAGTGAAATACATAGAGGCCAATGTAACACTTGAAGTTAACATCTTAATTAGTGATTGAGAGTGTGTGGCTTACATATTCTCTTTGCAGCTTGTCTGCCCAGTAATTATTTAAACGCAGGAGTCATACGTGTGAGCAAGCTCACTGATATGAAAAAATGAGTTTTTGTGTCGGTGAAATTAAGGCCTACAGCTAATGGTAATTCCTGTTTGAAACTGCCTAATTAACACCATTAAAACCCAACTCCTTTAATGCCCATCTGAAGCAGAAAGTTTACTGACTCATCTTTATCTTTGATACTGTATATATGTCATGGCGATAAATTACACTTTACTTGATGCGCAATCCAAATAAAAATATTTATAGAAAGATATTTCATTATCTTCTAATGAAAGGCATTTAATTTACTCCTGAACAATATGCTTTAATCTCTGTACAACAATCCAACATTTTTCATTAATCTATTAGTCTTTAAGTTATTCTACAGCAGGGGTCTCCAGTAGGTACCGTCCAGTAGGTTTTCTATCATACCCGGCTTCTGATGAGCCACACCTGTTCTCAGGTAAATACCAGGAGCAGGTGTGGCTCATCAGAAGCCAAGTGGGACAGAAAACCTACTGGATAGTAGCTCTCCAGGACCAGAGTTGGAGACCCCTGTTCTGCAGCAACGACATTTACACCTTGATTACACATGGTTTACCCAGCGTGACGTTCCATCCCATGCGCTGGAGCCCGCATGCACCCAGTGGGATTCCCACGTGTGAGGTGCTGTCCAACATGGACAGGAAATGACATCACAAAACACAGCTGAAGGTTCAGTCTTCACACAATACTCAGGTCACAGTGTCTTGCTGCTGGACTCCCAGGCACTTGGGTCTGAAATACTGTGACCTGTTTTATGTCAAGTAGGCCGTACCTGTGTCGGGACCCCCATGTGGCGCAGCCTTCATCGCTGTCACTGGAGCTGTCCCTGGGTGGAATTCGAGTGTGACCCGGCTGGCTGTCTGGGGACACGCCGCCGCTGGGAGAAGCTGGGTGGGCGATTTCAGAGGGCGAGCTCACATAGGCGTCTTCAGGCATGCCCTCAGAGGGGGCGTAACCCTGGTCCGGAAGGCTGCTGGTGCCGTCACTGCTGCTCGCCACCGACGCGGTCTCCGGTTCCGGTTCCGGAGCCAGACCTGGCTCTCCATCCTGCAAAGTGCGGAGCCAAGCTGGACGGAGCGAGGGAGGGAAGGAGGGTTACTGACGAACACATCTGTCAGAGAATGTAACACGGCAGGTCACATCAAGGCAAAAAGCAGGAAGCTTCACACATCTTGCCGAGGAAGACTGCGGAAGGAGGAGAAGGTAGAGCACCAAGGGGAAATGAAAGCGCCAGACAGACAGGCGTGGAAAAATAAAATCATTTATTCATTATTTGTTAATGGAGTATACGTTTAGGATTAATTATTATAACTGAAAGCTCAGATAAAATTAAACATGATATTAATTTGTAGATTTAAACTCATCATAAGTAGTGCTGTAATTTTATTGATTAATCTTAAAGATTAATCCCAGGCAAGCAATTTTCTGATGTTCTGTGGCAGGAAAATGTGCTGATATCCTTTTTATCCTCCTCAGAATACAGTGACTAAGGGCTACTATATACCAGTTACATTTATACCGAGACCAGTTACATTTACGTTTAAGAGTAATGGATGTGTGCACATTGTAGAAGCGTACAAAGATTTTAATTAGCAAGATTTTACACGGTAGAAGTGTAATGTCTATTTTTAAAACAAGAATGCTCTGAAAAAAAAGGTTTTATTTTTCATATATTTTAAATTAAAAATAATAGGTAAAGTCAAAATAATTTTTATGGGACACAGTATAATAATATGATTATATACTATATAGGGCATTTATTTTTATATGTGGACAACTTGAGATTTATTCAGTTTTCTATACAGGTGCTTAGTGGTAGAGCAACTGTACACTGGGCCCTGGGGCAGAAATGGACCATGCCCCCCTTTACAAATTCACACCTACGGCCTGCCTGCACCAGTTGCAGATAATGAAATTAAAGTATCCTCCAAATATCATACCCATCATGCACTGTAATAGTTAGCAAATTACATATGCTTTTTTCATTAAATACAAACCTCGGCAACAGAGTTTGACTATGAAACATTAGAAACTATTAAATTTCAAAATCGTTTTAAGTATTGTACCATTTTTTTTGTGCCGACTCCCACCATAATTAGATTTTATACATAAAAATGAGAGATATAAAATCATGCCACAAGTCTATATGCACAATATCAGTGCCTTAATCCTTATGAGTGTTTCGCATGTATGTAAGTTTTGCAGTTGCAGGGGGGCCCTCGATGTCACTGGGGGGCCCGGTCTGCAGTCGGAAGGAAGCCCAGGCCCTGGGGTAGTTGCCCCTGCTGGCCCGCCTGCCAGTCCACCTCTGCAAGTGCTATATTCAAACCGTGCCGTATCTTAGAACTGGAAAGAAAATATTGCAAAATCTGAGTTGAGTCATGTGTCTAATGAGCGATAAAGGACAGATATTAAAACATTTTCAATAACTGCATTAACAAAATTCTAAATGGAAAAAAAATCTACATAATAAAGTACAATGTTTAATGACAGACACTGCTATATTCAGAATAAAACAAGCCTTAATTTCGACAATAAATGCACAAATTTCTACGTTCAGATTCTATTTACGATAGTAGCATTTTTCATTCTTGGCAATCCAACTTTATATTTTTAACCTGGGCACATCTTTCCAAACAAAGACTGCACTTGAGATGAAGTGATATTTCTCATGATCAGTCTCAGCTGAGTATTATTTTATCAAAACCATTCCAAATTGAAGAGTAATAAAAATTATGTTTAGTGATAAGCATCTCAGCTCATTACAAAATCATTGAAAATGCACCCTGTATCAGACCTGCAGCTATAAACGGCGATAATGCTATAGTCCTTCATGGACCACAATATTCTTGAATGCCTACAAAGGCGTCTGAGACGTGAAGACTTCTCACAGTTATAACAACGTCAGTCAATGAACAAGGAAGGGAATTTAATGACTTGCTGTTACATTTTTGGATATAAAGATCAGTTCATTTGTTCATGAGCATGCAAGTTTGGAACAAGTTGGGACCGGGAAATGTTAGGTGTAAATAATACGATATAAGAATGTAATTTCTTTTTTGTATCTGCACCTTTCTGAAAGTGTGCTTTAAAATAATTCTTTGAATGGGAGGCACCTTTGCTCTGTGTTTAATCCATAATATCTGGCATTAATATAACAACATTAACGAATTTAGGGTGATTTTAGAGAAATCAGTCTGGAATGTTCAATCACAGCGTTTGCATTCAACCCATATCAGAGTCTGAATGGCTATTCTGCACCTCAATGACGCTGCTCCTTTAAACTGGATCCAGTCCAAGTGCAGCAGCTTCCAGAGCTGTTTGCTGTACTGTGGGAAACCCTATACGGGTTCAGAGCCAGTGGAACTTCGGAAAAGCTGTTCATTCACCCACACTGGAGAGATGCCACTGCTCCCTGGTTTCCTGTCATGCCAGTGCCGTTTTCTGACTCTCCGAATTCTGACTCTCCAATAGTAGCCATGCAATGTGAAAAAATGTTAAAATTTCACAGATACCCGCCAAGTTACAATTCTATTCTTTTAGGGTGTGGTATTTATTATATATTTATTATATATTATTTATTATACCATTTTCCCTATATAACATTTTTTTTAAGAATTAAAATATTCAAACATTCCACTGATATGTAAACCAAAGTTCATTGTGGCCATTTACATTTTTAACAGAGAATTCCAAATGGCTTCCAGTGTTCAGCCTCCAGGTTAAAGGAGCACCAGAGCACAGAACAATTTTTGATTCTGAGAAAGGACACGAGCGACATCGAGAAAGTGTCAGGCAGACTTACGCTCTGCTTTCAACAACCACACAGAAGGATTTATGAGCAGATAGATGGCTTTGTGTTGAGAATAGCAGGGACACAAGAATAGAGAGCATTTCATCAGACAGGTCAACCATAAAAAAGCCTATTTGATTTACAAATTAAAATAAAAAGACAAAACGACAGTGGCTCAAAATGTATAAAAATGCATCTCTTTATGACTTTCATACTGTGAGTTAACAATGGCGCACTACAGTGAAACTGATTACACTTTATCAAAACCTGCATTGGCACAAGTAAGCGTGTAAATATGTAGCAATTTTTAAAATAAGCAGATAGCGTAACATGCGACATTGCAGAGCACTTCCCGATTCCCCCTTGATTGGGGTCACAAACCTACGCAGCGCTTTCTACAGCAGCACCGATTCTCAGAGATCAGGTGGCAGCCATGATATCATAACTTTTCAATTTCTGAACATTTCCGTCAATCCGTCGCAACTCTGTGTGTCTCCAGTTACCGATCAATCGTCAAATCATATATCTCCTCACTTTAGCTACCGCCCATGTAATGGCAAGCTAAGATCTGCCTTGGTGGCTGAAAATTACCACAGACAGAGCAGAACACAAAACGCAAATCATGTACAAAAGCCCTTCGACTGCTTAAAAAGACAAGGAATACAGAATTCAGTTCTCAGTTAATAGATGAGGGTGTATAAAGTGAAGAGGGCATCAGAGAGTGGGCGAGGAGGAAGGGGGTGCGGTTCAGGTGCTGCGGAGAAGAGCAGAGGTCTAGCAGATAGGTGGAGCAGAGGGTGATGGAAAGGCAGGAGGTGAGTAGGGCAGGCTGGGGCTGTCGGCGTTCAGTGACGGATGCCACGGAGAGACATGGGGGGACAACAGTAAGCTGTCAAGATGAGGAAGACATGAAACGGATTCAGTCCAGAAATGGAAAAGAGCGTTCAAAATGAGACGAGCCAAAATCTAGGGCAACACTCACGTCAAGCCAAATTCAGTAAGTGACATTTAGAAAGATCATTTCAACCCAAAGCCTTCAACAAACCACCAGGACCCTTCACTGTGGGAAAGAAGGTCAGTAGGCTTCCTATGAGATCATAAATATATCCACTCCGCTTGGTGAGAACAAGATGAAGGATGAATATCTGACCATGAGACCATCTGACATAGTGAGTATAAGTACTGTATATGTCTGTAATACACTGTATATACCTGTAATGCACTGCATACACCCAAAATGCACTGTATAGACCCATAATACACTGTACAGACCTGTCCGTAATGCGTTGTATAGACCCATAGTGCACTGTATACACCTGTAACACACCGTATAGACCCAAAATGCACTGAATACGCTCGTATCGCACTGTATATACTTGAAGAACACTGTATGTACCCATATCGCACTGTATAGACCTGTAACACACTGCATGCAACCATAATGAATTGTACAGACCCCTAATGCACTGTATACACCCAAACTCACTGTATATACCTGTAGCACACTATACATACCTGTAATGTGCTATATATGCCCGTAACATACTGTATACACCTGTAATGCGCTGCATACGTCCATAACACACTGTGTACACCCATAAGGCACTTTATATGCCCTAATGCACTGTAAATACCTGTAACACACTATGTATACCCGCAACGCATTCTGTATGCCCGTAATGCATTGCATGCAACTGTAATGCACTGTATAGGCCCATAATGTACTGTATAGAGCTATTACACACTGTATAGACCTGTAACGCACTGTATACCTGCATAATACACCATATACACCCGTAACGAACTGCATATACCTAGAATACATTATCTATACCCATAACACACTGAATATGCCCATAACGTACTGTACACACCCGTAATGAACTGCATATACCTGTAACACATTATCTATACCTATAACACACTGAATATGCCCAAAACATACTGTATACACCCGTTATGCACTGTGTCATGTAAAACAAGCTGGCTTTGTGTCAAAGGAGAGTGAGTGCCCAGATACGATGGTCCAGCCCTTGTGGGTTTCATTAAAGCCCATTTACGTTACTGTGACTCAGGTCACCTGCCCGTCTTATTCCGAGATAGCTAAGAAAATCTTCCAAATGTTGTGTCGGTCTACTTGCCACCACAAAGAACACGTTTTCTGCAAACACTGCCCATATTTTGAAGTCTACTTTGTTCAAGTGAACCTTTAGGTGTGATAAGGGTTTTACCTTATCAAACTGCATGCTCACACTTTTGACATCAGCAGCCAGCTGAAGGCAGAGTTGCTCATTTGCATGTTACATGTAACCAGCATGCAGACATCACAGTCCAGCTGCTCTCCCCCATGTCGTCGCTCTCCATCAAACATCAGCAAGTCGGATGATCCACTGAAATCCCTTCAGTTTACCCTCATGTAATGCCTGCATTTATTTTGATACTTTCCCATGGTTTAAATTTACATTTTTAACACTGACAGACATTTTGTATTTTATATTTATAGATATTATCGCTAAAACTCCCTGTCAGCTGAAACCATGAGTCAAGATTAGTCACATGATGACAGAAAAGGAATAACAAGGAGACACAAACACAGAGCGAGAAGAACCCGGAACCTTCTATAGGACATTCTATAGGATGGTGGATTGAAATCACTGAAGAGTCAGAAAAGGGAAGGAGGAGAGGAAAGAGGCAGGTTAGCAGAGGAAGCAGCTGCAGGAGGCTCTGTGCGGCTCTGCGGGACCTACACTGGGGGGCCGCCTCCAGCTGAGCATCATGGGAGTCCTGCTGTACGGGAGGGGGCGTGTCAGGTGGGGGAGGGGGGATTGTTAGGGTGGGCGGCTCCCTCGTGGGGATTCGTCGGGGTTTCAGAAGCACCTGCCGCTCAGCACCTAGGGTGGTGTCAGTGGGGGGGGGGGGGGGGG